TAAAATAATAGAAATTGAATAATATAAAAAACAAAATGATGAATTATCTTATAGAGAAGATTGGAGATTTGTACAGTGTTTTGGCTTTATCTAAAGATGTTGATGAAGTAGTCTATCCTGTTCTGATTAAAATGTTAAAACGAGAGAAAATTTAAGACTGCTTAGAATATCTCTCAGAAGGTCTAAATCTAAGGCAAGTCGAATAAGAAAAATAAAAAGGAGAAAATTAATAACTATTTAATAATAACTTTATGGTCAACGTTGGAAAGAATAACATTCTGAGAATAGCAGAAGCTCTTAAAAATCTTAAGGATCATGAATTTAATTAACGAAATTACTCAATAGATGAATGTGATGAAATTAAGAAAAATCTGATCATAAAAATATCATGGGATTTGAGGATTATAGAATTCCTAAAATTTTTAACTCATCTTACTGCCTTAGATGAGAGATACATATAGTGTGGATCAAATTCTCTTCATTTACTAATTTTAATGAAAGTTGATTTGAAGGAATCAAGTTTTGAGAATATTAGAATAAGAAATACTTCCTTAATAGGTGCTAACTTGGTAAGATGTGACTTAAGCGGATCTGAGTTTCATAATGTCATTATCAGTGGTATAAATTTGAATTAAGCCAAATTATTTAATTGTAAGTGGAGGGGTTTAACTATAAATGAGGGAATTAAATTGAATGGTCATAGCAGCAGAGTCAATAAAGTTTGTTTTTCCCTAGATGGTAAATCATTAGCTTCTTGCAGTGACGATTAATCAATTTGCTTGTGGGATGTGAAAACAGGGAAAATAAAGTCAATATTTAGAAGAAAGGGGATGGTAAATTCAGTATGTTTCTCATCTAATAATAATACATTAGCTTTCAGCAGTTAAAAGTATGTGCATTTATAGAATATTAAAACAAAAAAATAAATAGCAAAATTAGATGCTCATTCAGGTGATGTTTATTCAGTAAGTTTCTCTCATGATGGTACTATATTAGCATCTGGTAGTGAAGATAACTCTATCCGTTTTTGGGATGTTAAGACAGGATAATAAAAAGCCAAATTAGAAGGACATACAAGTTGGGTTTATTCAATATGTTTCTCTCCACATTGTACTACATTAGCATCTAGTAGCTCAGATAAATCTATTCGTTTATGGGATGTTAATTCAGGAAAATAAAAAATCAAATTAGATTGTCATTAAAGTTTTTTATATTCAATCTGTTTCTCCCCTGATGGCACAACATTAGCATCTGGTGGTTCAGACAATTCCATCCGTTTTTGGGATGTTAAAACAGGATAATAAAATGCCAAATTAGATGGTCATTCAAGTTTTGTTAATTCAATTTGTTACTCTCCTGATGGTTCTACATTAGTATCAGGTAGTTAGGATAATTCCATCCGTTTATGGGATGTTAAGACAGGATAATAAAAGGGCAAATTCGATGGTCATTCAAATTATGTATTGTCAGTCTGTTTTTCTCCTGATGGTGCTGCATTGGCATCTAGTAGTTATGATAAATCTATCCGTTTATGGGATGTCAAGACAGGATAAGAAAAATCGAAATTAGAAGGTCATACAAATTGTGTTTATTAAATATGTTTCTCTCCTAATGGTACTACATTAGCATCTGGTAGTTAAGACCTTTCAATCCGTTTATGGGATGTTAAGACAGGATAATAAAAAGCCAAATTAGATGGTCATAGTGAACGAATTTGGTCAGTCTGTTTCTCTCCTGATGGTACAACATTAGCATCTGGTAGTGATGATAAGTCTATCTGTTTATGGGATGCTAAGACAGGATAAGAAAAATTCAAATTAGAAGGTCATACGAATTGTGTATATGCAATATGTTTCTCTCCTAATGGTACTACATTAGCATCTGGTAGCTAAGACCTTTCAATCCGTTTATGGGATGTTAAGACAGGATAATAATCAACCAAATTAGATGGTCATAGTGAACGAATTTAGTCAGTCTGTTTTTCTCCTGATGGTACTACATTAGCATCTGGTAGTTATGATAAATCAGTCCGTTTATGGGATGTTAAGACAGGATACTAAAAAGCCAAATTAGATGGTCATTCAAGTTATGTAAATTCAATTTGTTTCTCCCCTGATGGCATTACATTAGCATCTTGTAGTGACGATAGATCTATCCGTTTATGGGATGTTAAGACAGGATAATAAAAGGGCAAATTCAATGGCCATTCAAATTTTGTAATGTCAGTCTGTTTCTCTACTGATGGTGCTACATTGGCATCTAGTAGTTATGATAAATCTATCCGTTTATGGGATGTTAAGACAGGATAAGAAAAATCGAAATTAGAAGGTCATACGAATTGTGTTTATTCAATATCTTTCTCTCCTAACGGTACTATATTAGCATCAGGTAGTTATGATAAGTCCATCCGTTTATGGGATGTTAAGACAGGATAGTAAAATGTCAAATTAGATGGTCATGATAGATGTGTTAATTCAATCTTTTTCTCTCCTGATTTAACTACATTAGCATCTAGTTGTGTTGATAACTCTATCCGTTTATGGTGTATTAAAACAGGATAAGAAATCCAACCTTCAGATAATCGTTACAAAATTACAATAGCATAATTTTAATCTTCAATAATTAAAAATCAAATTCTTCCAGAAAATAGTATTTATTTTTCACTATTTAGCCACATCTAACATAACAATATTACTAATTTCTTAAAATCCCAATTTAGAATCATAAGGAGCTTTAATCCTGAAAGGATAATTTGTAAATTGCTCAGGAGCAGATCTAAAATCATTATTTAAATCTAAAGGAAGTTTGATATTGGAAAACTATAAAGAATTGAAATAAAATTGATTATTTATTAAAACATAAAATATCATTTATGTCTTTTGATCAGCTAAAAAATTTTCAGCATTCTCTAACAGAAAGGTTATTTGGAAAATTCTCTGATTATTTGTTGGTTTGGTCCTTCCCCTAAACACAGGTTCAACAGAAGATAAAGTAATAAATATCTGATAATGGAAAAATCTTTATTGTCGAAATCAATTGTTCTTTACTTTGTGACGATAATTGCAGTTGAAGATATTATGGAATTTACAATGAAATTTTAAGAGTGGGACAATTTACATATTATAATATAGAATTTGGAAATTTGCAGAAATATTTTACCCCCTATTTTGCTTTCTCATATCAACATCAGATGTTCAAAGAAATATTATTTACAATTGGTTTAATGTTATCGGTATAAATATGAAACAAAAATAATTACATGTTCGGGTGGTTTTCAAGAAAATTGTATTATTGATTATAAATTTATTGTTAGTCTCAAAATATTTTCAGTCCCCAATCGTGCACAGGTGTTTCTAATGCTGGGCCATGATTTCTAGAAGATTTTAATTTAAAACCCCTTAAATGAATGGTACTTGGGAATAATTCTCGCAAATTGCACCATTTAGAATTTAGAACAATGATAATTTGAATAAACATTATAATTATATAAATAAATTCCTTCATGAGTGCAATTCTTAGTACAATACCTAAAAAAGTATCTAATTTGCCCATAACAATTTGTTCAACTTACTAAATGGAAGTGGAAATACTATTTATTGTTATGTCTTAAACAGAAAAATTGCTTGATTTAAATTGTTTTGAAGGAAAGAATGAGATCTAGGACCTAAATTGCTTCAAATCATTACGAATCCAGTATGAAAAGATTAAAATATAAGACAAAAATTATAAGGAACACAAAAGATTTGGATTTGATAAACCTGGAATTAGAAACTTTATAAATAATAAAAACTTTTACAACGTATTAAAACAAAAGAATCTTAAAAACAGCATAAATCTACGTATTCATAAGATAACTATGATTGATTAAATAGTTAGATTAAAGGAAATTATTCTTAAGTAATTTTGTGAAGCTACTTCAATTAAATTGATTTTGTATCTGGCCAAATTCAATATAATTAGAAATACAGAAAAATGCTGCAATTTTTATACATTTGGTTTCATCAATTACGAAGGAAAGTACAAGATGAGGAGAGGAAAGAATTATTTACTCTACAGTAAGAAAACTTCCTGACAAGAAATACCTATATATAAATCAGGACAAGAAACTAAAATAGATGAAACCCTAAATTATAAAGCTGTTTTCCCTTTGTTAAACAGTCACAAGGAAGGAATGGGAAGTAAATTCAAATTTCGAATTATTTCAAGTGTTTATAGAATAATAAATTTAAAATAAGTTCTTTTTAGTAAAAATCTGATTTCTTGCTATGTATTCATAGAGTTTAATTTAAATAATTCTCAGATTTACTTTCTCTTAACATAAATCATCCATGTTTGTAAACCGTACTATTATTAATATCTTACATTCTTTTAAAAAAAATGTTAGCACCGCTTATGAAGTTAAAAAAACATTAAAATATTCAAATTTTTCATCTTTTAAAATCTATCCTAATTGGAATGTATTTGTTAGATAGATAAATTTTTTTATTTTTATTTAAGAAAAATAAGAAAATGTATATATAAAACTTCAATAGAGAAATCACGGGCATGCATTCTAGTTTTATAAGGTTGTCTATTTTTCCTCAACTTTTTGTTTCTCTTGCCATAAGAATAAATTAGGTTTGAATTGCTTCATTGAAATGGAAACTGAATGATA